GCCAGGGCACCCCAGCCCAATACGATCTGCAGCATTTTTAAAATTATATTTTTTGGCAAGTGGAAGTAAGATCGACCTGCAAGGAAATACTGCTTTGATTGGGTGGTGCTTTTGGAAAAAAATTGCAAGTAGAAGTAAAAAGGAGGCCTAGGTGAGTGAGCGTGTTCTTATTCCACATCTTTTTTACAAAGAGCTCTTCAAGTTTCCTGTGTTGAGCTGTTCAAAGTTAAAGATCAAGATCGAAGCACCATTCTTCTCAGTCTTGGGATTGGCATGGGGCGGTTGCATTTCGACAGGTGAAGGTTCAGGAGGTTAGGAGTGTGTAGAACAGATCCTGTGCAAGCTAGAGACACCAACTTTGGAGGATACGTAAAGGAGCATCCAGGGGAAGTCCTCTGTGAGTTTGGTGTCTCTAGCTTTCACAGGATCCATTCTATACACTCCTGAGCTGCCTAAACCTGTGTCTTGTCAAAATGGTCAGATTCAGGAGTGTATAGAATAAATCTAGAGACACCAAACTCACAGAGGACCTCCCCTGGATGCTCCTCTACATGCCCTCCAAGTTGTTCCTTTGAAGTCTGGTAAACATTTTGATTGAGTGGAGACTCTGTCTGAGAATGTATCCAGTCACAAACCAGCAGGATCCTCCATGAACAGTTTCAAAGTTCATGGAACTGCTACAAACTTGACTTTACAAAGTACAAACCGGCCAAAATTCATCATGAACAGGTTCATGCCCATCCCTAAATATATTTGGCTGGAAGATGCATTCACACTAGTGAATGGAAGATGCATTCACACTAGTGCCCTGAGTTATTATTTATGAGATGATACGGACTTCCTGAGAAAACTACAGTCATTTGGTGACCTTGCTGAAAACACCATTCTGCAAAACCCCTAGACACCAACATTACAGACAAGGATGTGTTGTAAGCCATCAGGAATGACATCCCTGATGATGCCATAGTAAAGCTGGCTGTTGGGTTTTGTGACTTTGTCCTTGCCTACAACTATCTCAGGTTTGGGGATGTCCTGTATCTTTGAACCAGTGGCAGTTCCATGAGAACTCTGTGGCCTCATGGATATCCACACATTTATAACAGATTTAGAACAATTCTTCTTCAGCAGTTGTCCCCAAGCTCCTTCTCTTTACTGGATATTAACTGACGACATTTTAATAATCTGGACCAGTGAGAAGGGAATATTCCACTAGGACAGTAACGGCTTCCACTTCACCATCAATCTGAGTGTGGACCAGTGGGTAGCCACTACCCACAAACACGTCACAATAAGATTAATTTAGTGCTAAAGCAGATGTGATGAAGACCACAATTCCCTGGTTCATTCATGTGTAAAATGTAAATTGGAGGTTCATTAACCACAGTTTACTTGAGGGCCATGAAAGAAAAGGGGGTTTAACTCTTTGACTTCAACTTAGTTTCACTGTTTGAAGTGTGGTCTTCCACTATGCTATCAGAGGTTTAAAAGAGAAACATATTTTTACCCTTTTAAAATGCTAATAGCAGAGCAGTGGGGATGGTTTTTGACTAGTGAAACTGGGTGGAGGTGAAACCCTCTTTCCCATCGCTGCACAGCCCCAAAGCAAACTGAGGCTTCATCATCTGCCAGCACCCTCTCCTCTATGTGAGCCTACAGCTACCCACTGGGATTTTAGAACTGTATGCATAGGAAAACAAGCTATGCACTTGTGGTAAGGAATTGTGGTCACTGAGTGTATTTGTGTGTGTTGACCCATGATGGGTTAAAAGGACATTAGATACCTTTCTGAACTTGAAAGTTCAGCACAAATCTGCTGCAAGATTTCACACAGACTTCATTGAAGTTTAGTGGTTAGCTCTGTCCTATTAACTTATCTTTTCAGTCTTGATTCATTTACCTTTGGCTCCTAGATTGTCATGGGTTTATGATTTGGTGATGCAGCAGAGAATACAAGAAAGGCACACCTGGTATATGTTTTGTCAGGATAGGAATTAGAGTAAATCCACAGCATGGCCAATATGGCCCCATTATAGTAAGCCAGCCAGAAAATGGATACCTCTCCTGAGTTTCATAAACACAGAAGTGGTCAATAACAATACCATAGCTGTTTAGATACTTAGGAGATGCAAGCCACAGAGTGATGGTGGTGAGTTTACTTTAGACAGAAACTTATGTTGACTGTTGGGATCTCTGTCACATCCTAGTATGGACTTTTGGAGTACATATTGGGATGTGCATAACATACCACCTCACTGTATCTATATCTCCACCCCACCCCCATCTCAAAATTATCCTGTGTTTGTATAGTAGGAAATTTATACAGTAGAGTGGAATAGGAATACCATGTATTGTCATTCAGGCACTTAAAAGCTTCAGTTATGTGGTTTCAACATACACACACACAGAGCCATATAAAAAGGAAGGAAAATAATAAATTAAACTGGCTGCTAAGACAACCCCCCCCTAAAATACGTGCACCCCACACCCCGTTAAAGCTTGAACTCTGGTCAAATGTGGGAAGTGATTGAATGATCCTTTGTCCAAACACAAACTGATAAAAATCTCAATGATTTGAAGTGCTTATGTCTTAGTTTTAGCTGCATCTGCAAAATGCAAAGCTTTTTTTAAAAAAGAAAATTTGCTATATACAAGATATATGCAATTAGAAAAACAAATATAGAAAAAATATAGTGAAACCAAGATGGTTGTTGTTGGTGGGGTTGGCAGTGAAAATTACAGACAAAGACTCAACACATTTAATGAGATTCCCCCCCTTCCATTTACACTATCATAAATTACAACGCATATGTCACTTCACAAAATAAAACCATTTGCATACCATTTTAAATGACAGTATTTAGTACATAACCTACAACAATTAAATCTGTACAATTCAGGAGAATCTATAGTAGTATTGTACCAACAAATCAGACCTCACTAACACCTGGCCTGCAGCCTGAATCTGTCTGTCTAGCCTTTGGTGACCCTATGCAAAGGCTAATATACAGTATTTCTTGTGCCCCTTTTTGTCTTCATTTATTTTCATTATCAAAGTTACATATTTTTTTCAATCTGAACAGAAACCTATGCTCCCTGAAATAATTCAGAAAACAGCATAACTGAGTTTTAAAAACTGATTTGTACAAATCAAGAAGAAAGCTTATTAGAGCTTTTCATATTGAAAACCCACTTTTGTAATAAACTATGCTACCTTCTTGTCTTTGAAATATTTATACAAAATCTCATGAAGAGGAAAAGTCTAATATTAGGAATCAGCTGCATTAGATTAGATAATAAGGTCAACCTCTGGAAAGAACAGGCAAAAAACCTCAGGAGATTTGGTAATATACCAATTCTCTTTCTTCTTTATTAACACATTTTCCCAAAGACACGGAAGAGAAATACTTAATTTTCAACAAGTTCACTTTTATAAATACCAAAGCAAAGTAATGCAACTTGGCTTTTGAAAAATAAAAAATAATTAACTCTAAATAAGTGCTAACTTTCAGCAAGGCCAAAAAATATCCAATTTCCTGGCATCACATCTTTTAGACATTATTGTGTTCAATGGTTCTAATACCAACACTTGAAAAAACCTGCTGTCTTTCTCTTTATTGGAGGTGAGGATGAAGATAATACTGTAACTGTTTCAAAATACCATACTACTAAGAGTATAGAATACTAATTTCTAGAATATAACATAAACCAAATAATTTTTAAAGATACCCTTGAGAAATGAAGTTTTCTTAAAAACATGTGCAATGAAAAAGCTATATCAGGATAATACTGCACTAGTGTTAAATGTTTTTGATGTGACATTGTGAAATGTTGAAGAGAAATATATGGAAAATCATCAATGCACCGCATTGGATTATACTTACTAAAATAAAAAATACAGTTTTTGCAGCGAGATAAAGTAAATACATATTTAAAAATTGGTTTGTTTTACTTTAGACATATATAATTATGCCTTAAATAGAAAGAAATTGTATATCCTGATATATCTAATACTGATAAACATCCTGACCCTAAATATAATGGACAAGATCAGAAATCCGTGTTGCCTTTTTATTCTCTTTTATGAATGGAAATGCCCCCCATGCACTTAGAATTTCCTGTTATGCATGCAAAGCACTCCAGAATTCATAGACTCGTAAGCCCCTGCTTCTACAGAGCTTTGTCTGAACATGAGAGGTTGCTGCAACCCAGCTACTCCAAATTTACCTTTCTTATCTATAAAAGGGCAATATTCAGTATGCACAGAGGCAAACTGAAAACATGAGTTCATGGCTAGAACGTTTACCTATGGCCATCATGGAGAAATAAATCTCACTGTGTTGAGTAACACTTATTTTCACATAATGGCTATGATGTAGAGCTCTTTGTAAGGAACAGTGGGGTATATATCTGCAACTATACATAAGGATTCTGACCAAACAGGTAACTGAAGTTTCAGCTGTGGATTTAGATCAGTGATATCAGAGCAGACTGTGTGGGGGTACACTCATGAGCTGTTGATATGCCCCTCCCTCATCACTCTATTGGACTGGCAGTATCAAATGAGCTGTATGTTGACACCTTCAATCCTACAAACTGCTTTGTGATCCTGTTCTTTAAATAGGAATCATGATAGCGACAGTACTTTGGGGATCAGGTTAAAAGTACCTTTTTGCTTCAGTGATCTAAATAACCATATAAAGTTTGTGTCCTTTAATAAGTTAATAGCAGAACAGTCTGTAACCTTTCAACATAGATACACACTGGAAACAAGGCAAAGGAGACAAGGCAAGAGGATTTTTTCTGACCTTCATTCTCTCTTAAATAATAATAATAAAGAGGTATATGTCTATGAGACATACACTTTACTAAATGTTTTGGCATTCATCTGCAACACAGCAGAAAATGAAGTGCTACCCATTTTTCTTGCTCTTCCAGGAAATTGTTTTTCTTTAAACTTGGACTTTCATAGAAGATGGCTATGAATTTATTCCTTCATTTGTCTAAAACAAAACATCTTCATTTTCTATTAATATTTGCACAATCAGCTTCTGGTACCGCATGTCATTGAGAGTGGCAAGGGTGCTGTCCTCTGGGGGTCTCATTAAGGTAGGCCCAAACACTATTCCCAGATTTTCAGCATTCATAAAATTATCTTTTTCATTCATGGTAATCCTAAATTGGAAGAAAAAAAGAAATATCTTCATTAGAGGGGTTTTTTTGCATCATTTCCATGTTATAAAGTTATATTTGCTTCATGGGTGAATAATAGTGTATTAGAGTACCTTCTACAACTGTAACAGCAAGGTTTGTGATGGAAAGTTACTATAAAGCATGAGACAACATAATTGTCAACTCTCAAAACCCCCTTGAAATATTTTTAATTGATGCATACCATGCATGCTATAATGTACGGATGAAGCACCTGTGAATTTAGGCTACCAGATTTGCTTTATTGAAGACAGTGGTACTGTGGACACTCCTCCTTGAACTGATGCAGAATGAAATGAACAGAGAAGCCCTTGAGAGCAAGAAACTCCAAGTGAAGAATCCACATGGCCTCAGAGAATGACTGGATTTGGACATTTGACTGTCTGATTTTATCAGTATAATTATAGCAACAAACTAACTCAAAAAATAATAGTGTGACCACACTGTACATTTGAATCAGAATTAACTTTGAGCGCTAACATTCTTTGTCATGCAGTATTGTTTATGTTTGTTTATATGTTCACGACTTAGAAGTAAAATTTTTACCTGAACTTCTTTAACACCTGGGCCATATCACGGGAGATTTGTAGACACAAGGTTGTCTAAGGAGACATTTCTTCTGTGATGATGGTACTGGGGAGGGAGCTGGACTAGAAATACCCTGGACTAAGGTCCCTGGACAATTCTCTCTGACTGTCCATGGCCCTGTTTTTATTACCTAGGGATCTGAGGCAGGTGTGGGGGGGATACAAGATGGCCAGCTCATAATGCCAGGAGATGCCAGTTGCCATGATGATGAAATGGTGGCCAGCAGAGCTAATGGGAATTGGTGAAGGGAAGAGCTGTGGCCAAAATGATGGGTTCCTGGTCAGACAGCAGAAGGCCCCAAATACCTTGCAGGAGATAGGGAAGAACGGAACAGGCTGATGGTTTTGTGGCTCAACAGAGGCTAGTCGAAGTGTGAATGAGAGGAGGCCCACTAGTGGTGACCACTAGGAGTAATCCACTACAGTTAGAGTACCTCCAAAAAAAACTCATAACAGTTTAAACATGCTTTGTAGCACACTTCTGTACCTGACAAGAAAAATGGCCAGCTATCATTTTACATGCAAGTTAACTTACTTTTTGAGATGAATCATCAAATATCTGAGAGTCTCATAGTGTGCAGCAGGAAGTAACATCAACACTTCATGGACTGCTTCTAACCTTTCATCAGGATTGGAGATTTCTATGAAACACAATACAAGATTTATATAAACTCTGAGGTAAATAATGCAAATATTTTAAATAAAGAAATCCATATTCATATCTGTAGAGTTTTAGAAATGTAAAAAGTTAGTCCTGATGAAGTTTACTCTTCTTTGTATACTCACAGAAATACATTCTTAATCTCTGTGCAGAGAACTTCCCCTTGCACTTAGTTAAATGTTTAATTGTTCAAAATTAGAATTATTAATTAAAATGGCACATGTTGAGAGCCATTGTGGCATAGAAGCTATCATGTCAGACAAGGATTTGAGCAAACCTGGTTCAGATTTCTGCTCCTCGACAAAGCTTGCTGGGTGGCTTGGAATACGAATTGTTCCTTAATCTAATCTGTCTCACAGGGTTGCTGGCAACATGAAACAGGGATGGAAGAACTATGTGCACCAATCGAAATTCCTTATAGGAACAGTGGGATAAACATGTGATAAGTAACGTAATATATAAAATGTCATTTTAACAGGAGTTCTTGAATGACAGCATGCTCCTGTAGAGGGGTGACTGATGACTAATAGCGCAGTCTGAATGCTGGTATCCTTTTATCAATGAGCAGTATAGTCAAGATCCACCATATACTTATTAACACTGGAAATCCCTAGGCGAATAAAACAAAGGCAGCCTGCAGACAACCATTCTTTCACTGCTTTTCTTCACAAAAAGGCCCAAAGCTGCTGACATCAGTCTCTGCTTTTCCATGTTATACTCACAACAACCCTATGAAATAGGTTAGATTGAGAGAAAGTCACTGACCCAAGGTTGCCCAGTAAGATTTCATGGTCAAGTGAGAATTAAAACCTGGCTCTCCCAGAACTTAGACAGTCTTCATACTACACCACATGGCCTCTTGAGCAGAATTTAATGAATGTTTTGTAAGGCAACTTGAGGACCATTTGTGGAAAGGTGGGAAACCTTGCAAGAAACAGCACCAGGAACCATCTGGTATCTCAGCGGAAATTAGCAATCCAATAGGAAGCAGTGGGGATGTGTTCCAGTCCCACAACAGGGAAATTTTGGGTGTTCTGCCTTTTGAGTGTTCTGCCAACAACAATGGCTTGTACTCTAGCACTACTTTCCAGTAATGCAAATGTCCTTCCCTTGGTGAAGGGGGGTATGTGATTTTGCCAATCCCCTCTCCCACTGAAATATCTCCATGAACAAAATCTGGGGGAGGGGATTCAGTAGACTATAGTGAAAGGGAACAGGCAGTAAAGTCTCATTCTGCAAGCTTTGTCTTGCATGAAGTTCATTGGATATAATGATTCTAGAAGAAAATGACTAGAACTCAATCCCACAGAGCAGCACACTAACCACAGAGTCATAAACAGAAAACAGTCTGATGATGGTGCTTTGCTGTCTTCCATGAGCCTGTATGCCTCACCTCCATTCCCCTCTAGCTATATGCAAGACATCCACTTAGACCAAAATTAAAGGGGTCCATTATATGATGATAATCCAGTGAAACAACCTGGGCTCAGTAAGTCAGAAGGCCCACCTTCAAACTCTGCCCATTTTCTCACAAGGCAAAGAAGCAAAAAGAGGTGTATACACCCAGTTTAGCGAGCGGTATTCATAGCCAATCCTAGGAAACACTGATTAGATCAATGACCTCATTCAGGCAGGTGTGGTTTGCTCTTGGTGGTAGGGGCTCAGAAGGAAGAGGTAGGTGTAATCATTTGGTGCTGTCCCTTGGCCAATTTGAATATATTATCTTAATCATCTGGTTGTGCAAGCATAATACTTCACTGTTAGAGGGTGAGGGAAGAAGCCTCAAGAGAGCATAATATTCCTCCTAAGACCCTTTCCGTCTGTAACAATTCCAGACGGGTAGCCATGTTAATCTATTGTAGTAAAACAGAACAGAAGATCCAGTGGTACTACATGGGTGTTTTGTTTCCCTTACCAGTCCCTCTACTTCATGCTCATTCAGGGCCGGCTCCAGCTTATTTTGCACCCTAGGCGAGGATCCCTTCTGGGGGCCCCGTGCACCCACCCATTTCCAAAAATAAATGCATTTTAGGAAGAATGAAAAACACAAATAATCAAGAAACTCCTAGAGTACGGGGCCGGGTGCAGTTTGGTGCCCCTAAGGGCCGTCCTGCTCTAGGCGATCGCCTAGTTCGCCTAGTGAGTGAGCCGGCCCTGTGCTCATTGCACTGGTAAAAGAACTTTATTAGCTGTAGCCTCCATCTGGTGCTAAGCTTGTGTGGTTTTTCTGCTTCATTAGAGTAATGGAGTTTAGGTGATACTTTCCTGCATAGAAGGTGTAACACGTAGGATACACAATGCAATTCTAAGCAAGTTTACTCAGAATCCTCCTAAAGTCTACTCACTGCGGCTTACTCCTAAGAAAGTGTTTTCTTAGCACATTCACTCTATAAATGATACATCACATGCTATGTGTCTTTATTCAATAAAGATGCATTTGATATAAAACCTCCCATAACAAAATAATAAATGAAACAAGCGATGTGCCTCAGTACTTACTTGCTGCCTCTATAAACTTGGAATAAGTATCATAGGTGATTACAGGAATTGGCAAGTCTCTGAAATACAGCTTTAGGGCTCCAGCAATGATGTTTATGTCTGGATAGATGTTTGCAGAGACATCTGCCTTGTCACCATCTAGAAAAGGAGGAGAACAAATGAAAAGGCCCTTGTTTTCAGCAATGTTAGTCATGACAGATATTTTTTTTCAAATTTAACTACACATAGTTTTTAAACTGCTAGAGAATGAATGGTGTAGTGGCTGTATGGAGGAAAGCTGAAGTACCTTTAGCCTATCACAGCCTGTCTGTACAGCTGTTGTCCCTCCGTTACATTCCCAGAAACTCCAGCAATGGTGTTGCAGGCTATATTGGTATAGGGGCAGGAGCTTGCATTCTTGGCAGCACCTATAGACATCACAGGAGTCTGGGGCTATTCCAGAACAACAGAAGTGGCAATGCTCATTCAGTGAGTAGAGGCTCCTCTGTTGCATTGTAGTGGATCAGAGCATTTCCCTTAAAAATATCCTCCAAGTTAAGCCTCACTTAGGAGCTTCCTTTCCCATTTGAAAAATACACTGATAAATGTTATGTATAGTTATTCCTTCCTGTATATGATGGAACCTTGTATTCTGCTTATGAAATGATAGCAATAATGTTTTGTAATTCTTTTAAAGCTTTTCTATTTAGCAGGACAGAATTTTAGAATCTCTGTAGATAAACTATGACAATGATTACATTGAAAGGTCTACCTTCTACCAAAACATATTCACAACATTGCAACTGAACCAGAAGCTACAGGTACGAATGAAGGAACAAAAATCTAATATCTCAATCATACACAGAACCAGGGCTCTAGTCGGGGGGGAGCTCTCAGGTACGGAGCTCCGGAAGAGAACCTCTAGGGGGCGGGGCGGTCACGTGGTGAAGCCCCACCCCCTTCTTTACCCCGCCCTCTGCTTCGATCCTCATTCCGTTTGGGAATGAGGATGAAGCAGGAGGGTAAGTAGCCGGGCCTTCTGACACACTTCCGGCGATGTCAGGGGGTGTGGCCTTCTGTCACTTCCGGCGATGTCAGGGGGCGTGGCATATGCAAATAAGTTATGCTAATGAGTTATGCTAATGAGCTCCGGCAGCTCTTTTTCTACAACAAGACCCCTGCACAGAACTGTTTTGTATCAAAATCAATTTAAATCTTAGGACTGGAGAGCAAGTCTGTTAAACAAGCCTATCTGAAACAGCAAACTGATCTGAACCCTTATATTAGAATTTACTCCAATACAGTACCACTTCTCCCATCACAATGTTTATTCTGCCCCAGCCAGCCTCATATTTATCCTCACTTACTTGGCACAGCAGCATTAGTATTATAAAACATTGTTTGGACAGCTCTATTTAATTGCAGTACAATGAGCACTAAAGTGCTACACTGAAAGCAAAAGCTTGGGGGGGAGGGTCTGCAGCTGCATCCACATCCATCCAGACATGGTAAAGCAGAGCATCACATTCATTATCCTGGCCTTCATTTGATGGCAAAGTCACCAGTTTATTCAATAAAAACAAGATTCACAGGGTAGCATAACAGGCAGTATTAGAGAGAAGCGGGGTTGGAAGACCAACTATGAACGTGAGTCAACTGAGAGACGATTTTTAAAAGAAAAGACGCTCCCTACCCTATCCCATGGAACGGGAAAAGTGAGCGAGGGGGGGGGACACCTCCCATGCGCATAAACTGTTGAGCGAAGGGGTGGGGAGCAGAAGAAAAACGTGCGATTGCCCAGAAGTACTCACCCAATCGAGTTAAGCAGTCAAGCGCATATTCAGAGACTTCAAAAAAAAATTCCCGAAAGTAAATAAACGGGAAAAAAGATGGCGGGGAAGAGGGACAGAGACAAAGAAAAACTTTTAAAAACGAAACTAGAGTCCCCAAAGCCGGAAACGACCAGTGTGATGGCTAAGGCTATAGCTGAGTGCATGCGCCCTCTACTGGAATAGTTAAATAATTTCAAAGAACAGATGTCGGTGGTAACAGCAAATATTACAGCCCAACAAACGCAGTTGTCTGTAGTAACAACGAGCATTACTGCTCAACAAATGCAAATAACAGATTTGATTCAAGTAATGAAGCAGGATGCTGAGAAAATAAAGGAAATGGCTGAATCAACGCAGAAAGTGAAGAAGAAAGTGCAAAAATTGGAAAAGAAAACTACTTCTTTAGAAGATCAAATGCTTCAAGTCCAAATGGATAAGGCCAATATGGTCCTGCGCTTCCAGGGGGTGCCTGAGAACAAAGGAGAGAATCTTAAAGAACTTAGGAGCGAGCTACTCGCCCCAGCAACAGAAATAAAAGTGGAATTGCTACTCAATGACATGGATATGGCCTACAGGTCATATTCAGGATATATAAAGAAAAACAATCTGCCTGGGGAGATTGTAGTAAGATTCTCGAAGAGGCACGTCAGGGATGCTATCCTGAAAGCAGTAGCGGCAACACCCTTGAAGGCAGGGGAGAATGCTGTTAGAACGCTAAAGGATATTCCATTTGAAGTAAGGCTACGTAGAAAGAAATACAAAGAACTTGTGCTCTTCCTCCAAACAAATTCAATTGGATAGAAATGGCTATTTCCAGAAGGTGTAACATTTAAGATTAAAGAGAAGAAGAAAAAGATTGACTCTGTTCTTAAAGCTCAAGAATTTCTAAAGGAACAGCTGGGAAGGTCAGAGGACGAGAAAAAAGAAGAGGACAGCAGGTCCAGTGGCGAGCTGGAAACTGGTACATCTGGCGAGGACTCTTTGTCTGAGCAGGGGGCAGCGGCCCCAAAAAATCCCTACAAGCTGCGAAAGAGAAAAGAAGAAGTAAAGGCTGAAGGACTCTGATTTGTGCCTTTGAGAACTTTGGTTCTGGGGGATGATTGGGGATACTGTTATTGGGCAGTTAAATGTAAACTTGGAGGGTAAAAGGTTTTCTTTTTTAAAGGGATTGACTCAGTTCATAAAAAGAATAACGATGAGAAGACTTGATGTTTTAAAGCTAGTTGGAGGGTCTTCTCTCTTGGGTTTTTAGTTAGTAGTGGGTACTTTACTTTCCCCCATATATGTAGTTCCCTTACACCCTTTTCTGTTGTAGTTTTTTGTAGTTTAAAAAAATCAATAAAAAAATCCCCTCCGGGGGCTCAAAAAACAAACAAAAAATAGGCAGTATTAGAGGAGAGCTTTAAATTAAGCAAATCCATATCTCTTTTCCTGTGACTTGCTCCGAGCAAAACATATGAGAAAAGACTGTTAGAAGGTAGCTAGAAAGGCGAATCCTACATCATAGCACATAAGGAAGTTCACTTGGATAGAAAGCATTGCTCAAGTTATGTTGTGATCATAAGAACATATATAATTCATTTGGATTCCAACCCCAATTTTTTATTTTAACTCCCCCCCCCCCCTTAAGAAGACTCTTGGTCTTACTAACTTGCACTAACCAACCAGGGCCAACTTGGCTTAGCTTCTAAGATCTGGTTAGATTGTGCTAGCCTGGGCCATCCAGGTCAGGGTAGGCTTAGAGGCAACTGCACGGCAACTGCTCTCTGGGTGTAGCTGCACTGTGTGCAGAAGCTGTAGTGCTGGGGTTGCTGATTTTTTCTTTAATAAGAACTATTTCTGGGTTAGGTCACTTGATCCACCCTTCCTGGGGGCTTTGCCACCTGCAAGAGCATTCTCTCTTGTGATCTTCGCCTGGATCTTGTAGGGGCTGCATAAGCTTCTTGTCAGTATCCAGCAAGCTACTGGTAGCCCATTGTCAATGGCTCATTTCGGATCAGAACAGTGGCACCATATACTCTATTTCTTGCCCCTTTTCACTGGGGAAATATACAGGCAGGGCAAATAGCTGCTCCAATGGGCTGATGGGCCACAGGGGAGGGGGGTCTAACCATTGGCAGCTGCTGTACATGATCTCCTGGCCTCCTCATGTGGCTGCATATTAGGCTTTTGTACAGGTCAACAAGTCAGTGTAACTTGAGTTTCTAAACAACAGAGAGAAGAGCTTGGTTTGGGGCACAGTCAGAGAATGCCTCAGGCCCGTAGCTCGCGCGGGGCTCATGGGGCCTGCCTCCCCATGGGTTTTGCGGGGCCCCTCCCCGATCCTCTGCTCCCCCCTCCCCCCCAATTGATGGTCTTGTTGCCGGGTGCCAGCAATCTGCCAAACCCCAGTAAGAGAGGAGTAGTACGGGCCAGCGGTAGAAGTTGTGGAGGACCACGGTGGCCACCAGTGTCTTGCCCAGACCGGTGGGCAGGCAGAGGAGTGTGTTGGCCTCCAGCACTACCCACACCTGGTAGCCCCACTCCTCCACCCCCCGGCCCACCGGGAACAGCCACAGCCCGCCCACCGGGCCATCCACGAACCCACCCAGGCATGGTGAGGGAGGAGGAGGAGGAGGGAGGGGAGGCTGCCATGCCCCTCAGGCCCCCCTGATGCCACCTCAGCCTCCAGTGCTGCCGCTGCCAGCTTCTCATCATCTTTGGGTGGTGATATCGTGGTGGCGTGCGCGCAAAGCGCAGGAGGTCCCAGGACAGTGCACAAACCACTTTAAGGTAAGAATGATGCTTGCGGCCCCCCCCAATTTCCCCAGCCCCCCCCCCCCACTAAAAAGGTCCTAGCTACGGGCCTGGAATGCCTGATGAACTACATGAGGATGCAGATGGATCACCACCCTGAGGTGACTGCAAAAACAAATCAAAGCATCCTCCTTGCAGAAAATACAGGTTGTGTGAATCCTTCTTCACACTGTTATATGTGAATTGTGTAGTGCCAAGCCGGACAAACAAAAGCACAATGAAAGCTCTATGAACAAGTGGTACAATGAATGTTTTATAGGCCCAGCAGGAACAGAACTGGTCAACAATAATAGCACAGTGAGCAACTGTTGCTCTACAGCATCCACATTCATTCACTGTTAGAAATAGCCAAACATTATTCCTCTCATTCTTACTAAAAACATAGCGATCCAGTGACATTAACAGTCAACTCGCCTGATTTTCACTCTAGAGTTAACCCAATATCTTTCTACCCTTGCTTATCTTACAGACCATGGGGCAGAATCAAGTGTGCAAATGATAATGCCCTTCTGTCATGGTATATTCCAGACTGTGTGGAGAGATTACATGGTTTCATACATAAAAAGCTCCCTATCTGTAGCAAGAGAGAACATGGGAAAGATTGTAAGCTATCAGTGAGGGTATCTGTTGGATCTCACCTTTTTAAAAAATAAATTTCAACTTTCTCTGATAATTTGATATGCAACGATGAAAAGCATGTGGTGTTAGACATATTTATGCCATTATCTAACTTTATTCCTTGTATCTGCAATACATGTAAATATTTCAATATAGATGATAAATGCTAATTGATAAATTAAAAAATACCAGGAAAGTATTTCATTAATGGGAGAAAAACAGCTATTTCTTTTACTGGCTGCACAATCAAACCACTCGTTATGCTAATGAACTCAGCGTATAGACAAACCAATAGGGCATTTAAAGCACTTTGTGAAGCTACAATATACATACCTCGATCAAAGGCCATTTTGACATCTTCAATATGTTCAGTGAACCCTGAGACTCTGTAAATTCCTTCCGATTTCAAACCTGCAAGGGAAAATATCATTAACTTCTGTTTAAGTCTATAGCTATCACTTAGTCTCTTGAAGCTTACTTTCCTTTTTTCAGAAGTTAGCTGCTATCCTGACAAAATAATTTCAATTACCCACTGTACTGCTGTGTTTTAATAGCACTCTGGTATCTGCCACATACATATATCACAGTGCACCCATTGTACCCTGACCTGGATAGCCCAGGCTAGTGCAATCTCATCAGACCTCGGAAACTTAGCAGGGTCAGCCCTGGCTAGTATTTGGATGGGAGACCTCCAAGGAATTCCAGGGGTGTGATGGAGAGGCAGGCAATGGCTAACCACCTCTGACAATCTCTTGCCTTGAAAACCCTGTGATATGTCACCTTGACATTCCCTCTAAGCTGTGGAGTCTTGTGAGCAAAAATTCTACTTTGTGAGCTGCTGGCATTAAAGTTGTGAGCAAGCAATTTGGCTGCTGCATCAATTAGTTTGCTCTGGAGCCCTCCTTCCCGAGCTAAGGCAAAAACGTGTGAGCCGGAGGCTAAAAAACTGTGTGCTAGCTCACACTAACTCAGCTTAGAGGGAACACTGGTCACCATAACTCAGCTGTGACTTGATGACACAAACACGTAGGCACACACAAACACAAACAAGAACAACAACCAAAAATAGCCACCTGTTGCTTTTAATTATGATACCTATATTTAGGCAGAGGCTTTCCAGGTCATTAGCAGAAATCCCCCCTGCCCCCCCCCCCCCCCTTTAAGCTGCTTTCATTAGAAACATCTAGGCCTGAACGCTGAACATTTTATATGTAAATATGAGCTCTATGGGCTGGTCCGAAGGTAGTGGGTTATTTCAATTGATTGATCACAGTCAGTTACAGATTGAATATGAGCTCTATGACTACAATTATGACTCTTGCTGCTTGCTGATGCTGGCTTTGGAACTTTGAAAGCAGTGCCTTCTAACATCTATACATCTAATTCAGAACAGGCCTCTCCTGTACAGATAAAAAAGTGGTATGAAATAATAATTAAAAGATCTGCAAGGGGGACCAACTAGGGTTAGGCTTATGCCATATTTGCAAAAAAACCCCAAAACACAAAAATCCTGAAAAGAAATGAGAAAGTGTAAGACTTTTAAAACCCCCAACCCCACTGATTCTGTGTCTGTGCTTGTGCAAACACTGCAACTGAAAGGAAAAAAAGGAGGTCTTGCGTCATAAGACTGGAGAACTTTGGTCAACATTTTTTGGTTGTCTATCAGCTCAAGACCCATTGCTGGGATGGGTGTGGGAAAAGTACGCAGCTGGCAACGGAGGTGGCAGTCCTCGGGAGACTGTGGGGGTGTGGCTTACTGAAACCGCATCCATCAGTACTGTGACATCACTTCTGGCTGTGTAACCAGAAGTGGTGTCACCACATTGTGGGAGTCTCTACTATTCACCTGAAGCTCTGTGGCAAAAAACTGGTTACGAAGTTGGAAATAATGTTGTGTTGATGGATATACAAGCCTGGATATATTTTATTTGTCCTTGGTTTGAAATATCTAATGTTAAACTAATGAGACTTGAATGTATCTGATAACATTTGTTAATAGGTGATATAATATTAGAGTTTTGGTAAACCAGATAAGGGACCATTTCTTATACAGACCACCCTTACCACCCTACAAGCCCTGTTCTTTGTGCCCTTTCTTTCAGCGATGAGATGAGTGGCAACCAGAACTGGGGCTTTTTCAGTGGTGGCACCTCACCTGTGGAATGCCCTTCCCCTTGAGGCTCGCCTGGCACCTACCCTACTCTCTTTTAGTTGCAGGCCAAAACATTTTTTTTTACCTCAAGCTTTTAATTAAGGGATTGAACTTTTAACTTCATTTTCTTTCCGCCTTAACTGTTATGAGAACTGTTAAGCTGGCCAATATTTTATGATGTTTTTACACTCTTGTTAGCTTTTTAATTGCTTTAAAACAACTTTTTACATTTTGATTATGTTTCATTTTGGCCATCCCAGATGTGTGGCTTCATCAGTCCTGTGCCTTGAAGCTGCTATGAAACAGTTTGCCACCTCTATCTGGTTTGCTGCCCTAAAGTTTAGACTATTCTTACACTTTTCTCAGCCGCTGCCTCCCCTTTTGCTTTGCTCATGGTCTGACTCCTTTCTTAGTTCATGGTGCCATTTCTGGATTCTAAAATAGCAGGACTAGGATTTTGCCTTTCTGGCTTGGCTGAGTTAGGATTTGATAGAGCTTGTACTCTGCTTTAAAAACAGAACTTGAACTATTAGACTGGAGTCACCACCTGTCAGATGCCAAACAAATGTGCTCTCCCTTGTACCTTGGTTTTATTCCTTCAAGACTGTTTGTTGGCAATAAGTATCTTTATTCTCTTATGGTTCCGTCTTATCGCTGTCTCTTCTCCTTGGCCCGTATAATGCATTACTGATTCCTGATCTTTTTGGAAGATTTTATAAGACACCATGTAGTTAAAGGATTTGTTCTTGTGGTTTCGAGGTGCCTAAAACCCCCCGGCACACTTTTTCTTCACATGCAAATTCTATGGCTGTTTAAGAGCTTCTCTAATAACTCCCCTTCTTGTAACTTTCCCCAACTATTTGGAGGACTATTACTTTCTTAATCTTGTATCTGGAAATAAAAAATCACATCTCTCTGGCATTTTCAAATATGTCTTGGCTGCACTAAAAATCCACGCTATGGCCATTAATTCAATGCCTAGTTAAATATGCAGTGATTCTGTGGCTATTTTAAATTTTAATTCTGTATTTTGAATTATGTATTCAATATTTATTTCTTCCTAAAGTGCTGAATGTTCTTTCTTGTCATGTATTTCAATTATTGTTATATTATTTTGTCTAAAATCCTATGTACTATCAAGACTTCCTCGAATAAATGAATGATTATGTTTTATTTTGTTAGCTGCCTTGAGCCCTGGAGAGGTGACACAGAAAGTTTCTTAATAAATAAATAAATATTTAATCAAAACTTTAAAAAACTCTTAAATACCTCTTGCTTCAATTTCACGAATGCAAATGTCCACTACCATGGGTCTCTGTGCATTGTGGGCCTTCACTAAGGTAGTAAGGTCACAGCAGTAGACTCGTTTGATCCTCTTGAGGTCTGGTTGACAGTCATTGGGAACGTATTTTGAGCACTGTTTGTGTACATTCAAACCACAGTCTATAACAGAAGCATTAATATTACTTGGAATTACTTTAATGTACTGTTGAAAAAGAAAAAAAAATCTACAGAAAAATACATCCTAGGCCAAAATCACACTCCCCTTCAAATAAACCCCGCTGTAAAGCACCATGTCCAGTGATAGTTCTATAATGAAAATAATAAAAATAACTTAAGTGGGGTAACAAGCAAAATATAAAAATGGGAAAATTTATGTTATTTGTAATATACATATACCCAATTGTTTACTGATATAATCACAGAATATGACTCTGTGATAATCTTTTTTTGTATTATTTTATTGATACTGTAGCTCTGGCAGTGATGTGAATTTTAGAAAGGGTCAGTCGGCTGAAATCCTTTTATAACCATTTCTTTATAAGGGTGTAGACTTTCCAATTTCCCGGGGGGGGGGGGGGCTGGGGCTGGGCCAGAGGCATTGCTTTGCTAGGAGCAAGGGTGGCTCCCGGGGGAGACTGAGCACCTTCCTGAAAATTTCAGCGGGGGCTGAAGCCCCGCCGCCCCCACGAAGATTACGCCTATAATAATTGAGCCTCAGGTAGGCGTGTATATTTGACACATATTGCACTACTGTGTGCCACTTAGTGGCTATTAGCGAGCATTTATACAGATGTTGTCATTTTAGTTCAGAAGCAGATGCCTTTTAGAAATGAGTGATAACTTTAATTTTGTTCTTCAGGATACTGCTTGAGTGGTCAAAGTTGGGTCTGTTGCTGCAGCAAGAAATCAAGCCTATCAAAATGGTATAGCATCCAAGTTCAATGCAAACATGGGTTTGAGTATGACTAGAACCTCTAGAATGAATGCTTTACTAAACTTGGCTTGAAGGTGTTAGGCCTCTGCTGTCCTGCAGCTCAATCAGACTTGCATGATGAGTTGCAGAGCCTAATGAAACCACCACAGGGCTGTGGCCAGTGGTGGGACACATAGGTCGGTGCCCCCGTTCGTATCTGCAGCGTCCCCCACTGCTGAGACTTCCCACCATGGAGGGAGGCCGTGGACTGGTAGCCTCCCTTGGGTGGTCACGTGGCCAGTGGGAGCCCATGGGCATCATGGCCCAGCCCGGCTGGGGTGGAGCACAGCAAGACCTGCCTGCTGCTTGTTGTCAGTGGCACAGGGCTGATGGTGCAGGGCCAGCATCTGCCCGGGGGTGAGACTGTGTGCCCAGCTGGGGGGGGGGGGAGGCGGGAGGAAGTCTCTGCCAGCTTCTTGGCTGCCTCCGCTGCTTCTGGGCTTGTGCCATCAATCAACTGGTTCATTTCCAATGTCTGACAATCACCCATCAACATTATTTTTTCATCCCCAGGCAGACAGCAAAAACTGGAATGCATTCTTAGTGGGCTACCACGGATGCATTCTCTTGGTTCACAGTTGTGCGAGTCTATGCTACATTCTGCTTCACCAAATAATGGCAACTGCAGTGATAGTGGAAAGGAGGGACCAGATGATATCCAAACCAACTTTCCTTCGCATTTCCCATCTCTTGAGCTTAAGTCTAATGTCAGTGGTTTGGTCCTGGGACCTTTGACGTAGCAATAACTGTGAGCAAAATGCCCTTATGAGTGAGTGATTGCCTCACCAATCAGAGATTTGATGACAGTGTGTCCAGATCCCAGGCTTCTGCTTCTGACTAAGCTGAAGTATTAGAAAATTAATCCCTTCTTATCTCTCACAGTTTTAAAGCAGAGGTCAATATTTCATCTGTCTGCAGAAGATGGATTGGAACCTATGGAACATTTCCGCTAATGGAAGTGATTTCCATCACTGGAGGGGATGTTCCTTCCCCACTGCCACCACAGCAGCAAATCCTCTGCAAAAACGCTGCTCCTGAGGCGTAGGAGACCCCAGGGACAGCTTGAGAGGGGAGCTGGAAGTCTGCAGCAGAAGGGAGGAATGCCAATCCCACTCCCCTTCCAACTGCGGAAATCACCCACAGGATCCAACCTGATGTCTCTGACCTGCCGCTAAACCTTGTTGAAAGAACAGAGGCAATTTTTTTATCCTAGTAACGGTCACAGTTTTCATGTCAATGCATTATAGTACAATCTGAAGACCACAGTGGAATATAAGCTTAGGAAATGTGTTATGCATGACTCTTCTTCAAGGGGAGATTACTGCAAGCTGAAGTGAAAACCACCTATCAATCTAAAAATAATTATTTGACACCCACAAGTTAATTACCTCTGTGCCTTTAACTTGGCTCACTAGATTCATTCAGACAGAAACTACCACATAATGCATTATTGTTCAGTGAAATCTAGGCAAACTCAGCCAGCTGTACTTAAGATACTCCCTTTATTGTTTAGTGTTCTCACTAAACATTTCCTGTGTAGTTAAAAACTTGTTTGTCTGCTTAGAGTTAAATGTTGGTAACCTAATGAAGCAGAACGTTAAGCTCTGTACTAAATAAACAGACTTTTTCACACACTAAAAACTTAAAATAACAATAAGAAAAAAAATCCAGTGATACATATTATATTCACATATACGACTGTTACATAATTTCTTATGTAGCAAACCTTTAGTCTTTTTTTAAAGATTTCCTGTCTGCCTTGTTTCCAACATACCGATGAGCAGGGAGAACATACAACATACAGAATAGGCAGACATCTCTTGTTACATTTGGGGCTTGCTTGCAGGTAATAACTCACTTGGACTTTGTCCAGAGACCTGTTGCAATGCCAGAATTCAACCTTGAAGTATATGACATTTCACACACACTAAATAATGCACTTTCAACCCACTTTCAATGCACTTTGCAACTGGATTTTAGAAGAAGAACAACCACTTGTATTTATACCCCGCCCTTCACTTGAAGTCTCAGAGCGGCTTGCAAACTCCTTTCCCTCCCCCTCCCCCTCCCCACAACAGACACCCTGTGAGGTAGGTGGGGCTGAGAGAGTTCTTTCAAGAACTGCTCTTTCAAGAACAGCTCTGACAGAACTATGGCTTGCCCAAGGTCATCCAGCAGCTGCAAGTGGAGGAGTGAGGAATCAAACCTGGTTCTCCCAGATTAGAGTCCACACACTTAACCACTACACCAAACTGGCTCACCTGTGTGAAATGGCACAATCCACTTGCAAACAGCTGCTGAAGTAGATTGAAACTGCATTGTTTAGCATAAAAAGTACCTTTGAGTGCCATGCACAACAAGTGCTCATATTCCTCAAAACAAGGATATTAAGGGCAGCTTCAGGTGAGTAGCGTTGGTCTGAAGCAACAGAACAAAATTTGAGTCCAGTGGCACCTTTAAGATCAACCAAGTTTTATTCAAGGTATAAGTGTTCATGTGCATGCACATTTTTTCGGATACATTGAAATGGAAGTTATGAGTCCATTAGGTACAGGGCAGGCAGCAAATTAGCATACAACATAATCAAGATGTTTAATAGATGCAAGGACCAAATGGGAATAACAAGCTTAGTTTATATGGTCACCATTTGTTTGGATTAAATTCAAAGGAAAACATAGTGAGGCAAATAAATCTGTCCAAATTGAAGATTGATATGTAAATATATCCTTCTTCACTGTGGAATGCTGAGGGAGGGCAGTTGTATCTGAGCTCCAGAACCTTCAATGGCATACAGCCACAATCACATGACTAATGGCATCATCTGCATCTGTCAGAATCCCTACCGTCAGTAGAGGTCATTCTTTTAGCCCAAATTGTTGTGGAAATAAGGAAGGGTTTCCAAATCTTCTGATGGGGTGGTTGGCTGATAGGAGATTGTGGTGATCAGAATAAAAGGATTTAGAATAAAAGGATTCACTTGTTCACAGCTTCCTGTTCCTCTCTATGGAGCCCAAACCCAACTCACCATATCAATTGACACTGAATAAATTTCATTTCTGCCTCTCTGCTATTGTACTAATTTGCAATTAGAACAGAGGGCATTACCTTGAATAAACTGTTCTGCTGATGCAATGTGATTGGTTTTGTGGGATAAATAATATGGGAATAATTTGAAATGTTTGTAGAATGTAGTCTTTTTTTCTTTTATTTATTTATTTTTGTCTAAGTCCCAAGGCAGCAAGAATACTTAGCTTTAAGCCAGTGTATTTGTTTAAACATACATTACCACGCAGCATTCAAAAGTAAAAATATGTACAAAGCCAGCTCTTCCCTTCCTGTGCAAAGAATCCCAGTTTAAAACTGACTTTGCTTACCCATGACACATGAATGCAGGTGCGTGGAGTAATCAGAGTTAATTTTCCCTCTGATTAACCCTCACGCCTGTATTTGCACATCATGGATAACTGGGGTGATTTTTAACTGTGCAAGAAAGGCACACACCTGAGTCTGTCAACAAACCAAATTCAGTTGCAAAGTTACATGACTGAGGTTAAGTATGATGTGAATTAGGGTTGCCAGCTCTGCGTTGGGAAATACCTGGAGATTTTGGGGAGTGGGGTTTGTGGAGGGGAGGGACTTAAGCAGGGCATAATACCACAGAGTCCACCTTCCGGACTGGCCATTTTTTCCAGGCTCACTGATCTCTGTCACCCGGAGATCAGCTATAACAGCAGGAGATCTCCAGCCACGACCTGGAGGTTGGCAACCCTAGTCTGAATGCAGCCTTAGTGAGTGTAAGATTTAGGCATTGTGTTGCCTTAGAGGGTCTGCAGTGGCTCAGAGGTTAAGACACTGAGCTGCAGACCAGAAGGTTTGTAGCTCGGCAGTCCGAGATCCTAGTGCCTCGTGATGGAGTGAGCTCCCGTCTCTGGCCCCAGCTCCTGCCAACCTAGCCAAAAGCAAGAAATCTCAAGTAGATAAACACTTTGGTGGGAAGGTAACAGCGTTCCGTGCGCCTCAGCATTTAGTCATGCTGGCCACATGACCACAGAAACATCTTCAGACAGCTCTTCGGCTTGGAAACGGAGATAAGCAGCACCCCCTAGAGTCGGATTCAACTGGCTTTCGAGCAAGGGAAACCTTTACCTTTTCATTGCCTTAGAGGTTCCCCATCTAGGGTTGCCAGCTCTGGGTTGGGAAATTCCTGGGGATTTGGGGCTGGAGCCTGGGAAGGACCTCACTGGAGTACAGTGCCCAGGAGCCCACCCTCTAAAGCAGGAACTGCTCTCTGCATTCTGGACATAAGTTGTATCTCTGGGAGATCTGCAGGCCCCACATGGATGTTGGCAACTCTACCCAATCCCAGGTCCTACCATTCCTGGTCATAAAAGCCCTGTGGCATGTTAAAGTGCAGCTGAGCTTCCTTCATTGTTTCCCACATTTTCTTGCTCCCTACTGCTATCTTCCAAGATGTTCACTGTCCCCACCCCATCCATACATCTTAGTGGGTAAGTCTCCCAAGACCTAATGTGAAGCTGTTACTGATACCTCTTATGAAACCCCAGCTCTGTCTAACACTGAGAGCCAGTTTGGTGTAGTGGTTAGGAGCATGGACTCTAATCTGGGAGAACTGGGTTTGATTCCCTACTCCTCCACAAGCAGCTGCTGGTGTGGCCTTGGGTAAGTCACAAGTTCTCTCAGAGCTGTTCTCTCACAAGCAGTTCTCAAGGGAGCTCTCTCTCAGCCCCACCTACCTCACAGGGTGTCTGTTGTGGGGAGGGGAAAGGAAAGGAGATTGTAAACTACTCTGAGACTCCTTCGGGTAGTGAAGGGCAGGGTATAAATCCAATCTCTTCTTCTCTTCTAACACTCCATTATGATACTGCTGCAATCCCTCCTTGTGGCTGTCTCCTGTGGCATCAGGACTTCCATCTACCTTTGATACCCAGTGTGTCCACTAGGTGTGCCCCTCCCCAAGTGCTGTCCTTGGAAATTAGGTGTGCCAGCTTTGGTAACAACAGAAATTTTAACAGAAGTTTGATCTGCCATGGAAAGCACGTCAAACTTCTCTTAAAGTAATAATAAAGGCAAGGCAGTTCTTTTTTCTTTTGGTACAGTTGGCAAACCTATCAGCAAATGGTATGCTACATTTATTGCCAAAAGTCAAAGTACACCAAGGACCATAAACAGAAACCTCAGTGCTGGCAAGAAATAAGAACTAGATTAGCACTGGCACTGCTGAGCTACTGATTCGTTTGATGGAATTCAGTGCATGTTCATCATTCTCAAAATGAATTTTGCATTTCCCATAGCAAAAGGCAGCACTTTCTTCACCTGATCCCAGTCCTAACCTGGCCAAACAGTCAAAAGAATAAAATAATTTAAGTAAAACTGGAATCATTTTGAGTGAAATGCCCATCTTTTTTTTTTTAGGGGGGGCACTTTAAACCAGGGACCTCTCATGCTTCCCAGTTATTATGTACAAAGTTTTTGCTACTTTTAGAGGGCCTTCAAAGTGTATCATGTCCTGTTAATCAAAGAGATTTACTTCGTTATTTTTCAAGTAAAAGAATTGGGCCAGTATGGCATTTAAGATTACCTGAACACCTGACTCCCTGAGCAATGAGTCCCCACATGAAGTTGGCACAGTATTCACACCAGTGTGGGCCTCGAAATGTGTGGACCTGCAATACAGGAGAGGGAAAAAACAAACCCTTCAGGATCATCAGGAGGCAGATGGCTTGACAGATGGAACAAGAAAAAAGAGATGAAGAACAAAGGCTCAGTTCAGAGAAAGTCTTTCTCGTGCACAGCCAGTCGTATCCCAAAAGCTGAAGGTAGCAAGCCCAGGGAAAAGAGAGAACTAAATTTGGACTTGTGCTTCTCTTCATTTCGCAGAGGATAAATCAAACAGAACCAAGTTACACACTAAAATAAACCCACAAAACTTTATCCTTAACAGACTTCTTGTTTCACATATGCTGGGAAAGTGCACAATGAAAGCATCGTTACCTTTCATCTCATACTGAAAACATAATGCAGAAATAACTCCAATGAATTTTGGAGGGACTTAGAGCCAATTTACATGTCAACAAAGAGCCATGTCTGTACATGGTGACGGCTTAGAAGGTGGTCAGGTCAGGGCTGGTTCCAGGATTTTGCGGAGGAGGCACTTCTTGCATTCCCTTCCTGCCCCCTTCCCTCGCTGCCCACTACTGCCTGCTTGCTTGTGAACCCCTCCACTATCTGTGCTCCTAGCCACATGCACAACCCACACACCATTCCCCTGGTGGCACTAGGCGGCATGTGCAGGCGGGAGCATGGGTGGCAAGAAGGTGAAACCAGTGGGTGGAGAAGCAGTTTGCAGGCAGGCGGCAGGTCAGGCATGCAGCCGTGGGGCAGTGGTTAGTGAGCCCCACCAGAAGTCCTGGGCCTTGGCAGCTGGGGATGTTGATGCCAGCCCTGGGTGTGGCAAGCACTCATGTACATCGGCTCACACGTGATTTAGTCAGCTTGTCTTGGATACCTGGGGTGCCACGGGGGATATCTGGTAGAGTAGACTGTAGCATTTCAGAGTGTGTGTTGGGACTGGGAATACTGTTTTTAAAATGGTTCTCCATATAATAACATTCCAAATAAAAATGTCTAGGATTTCTGAGAGAGAGTACTTCCTCTTCCTATCGCACACATTTTCTGTGGAGTGTTCGTTTTGTAGCAAGCATCCAACAAGCGGTCTGTCAGCTGCATTTGTCCGCCCCAGGATTCTACTGCTTCAGTCCAACACAAATCCGCTGCATGGTTGAATTGAGCCAACTATCCCCATACTGTGACCAGTGTTTCCTCTAAGCTGAGTTAGTGCGAGCTAGCTCACAGTTTTTTAGCCTCTGGCTCACACATTTTTGTCTTAGCTCAAGAAGGAGGGCTCCAGAGCAAACTAATTTATACAGTAGACAAATCGCTGGCTCACAACTTTAATGCCAGTAGCTCACAATGTAGAATTTTTGCTCACAAGACTCCACAGCTCAGAGGGAACGTTGACTGTGACTGGTTTAAATATATACTGGTCTTTACTTTCATATAATGGTCATGATCCAGAGCCTCTGTGATGTCCCATTTGATGGGTGCTTCCAATCTCTTTGGTGAGACCAATGTTCTGACAATCCCTGCTGTGCATTCTCATAGAAGAGGGCTCTGTACATAGGACTCTGGATGACAGCCACTATCTGTTTTGGATTGTGGTACCAGGCTACAGGCAGGACTGAAAAGCCTTTTAGTCACAGAAACAAACAACCCATTGAATTGTAGAAAACCCTTTTGATGCACTACATTAAAGGCAAAACAAAAGAGTGTGATCCTGAAACCTTTATCAGGAGGTTAGAAAAAGAATCTGATGATTTCCTCATGGTCTCTAAGGCTTTAATTCTAAAACACTTTCCTGAGAGTAATCCACACTGAATAAAATTGAATTTACTTCTGAGTATGCTAACAACAAAGCTAGTGGAGGTGATGGTATTCCAGCTGAGCTATTCAAAGTCTTAGAAGATGATGCTGTTAAAGTGCTGCACTCCATTTGCCAGCAAATTTGGAAAACGCAACAGTGGCCACAGGATTGGAAAAGATCAGTATACATTCCAATCCCAAAGAAGGGCAACGCCAAGGAATGTTCAAACTATCGCACAATTGCACTCATATCACACGCTAGCAAGGTCATGCTCAAGATCCTACAAGCTAGGCTTCAACAGTACGTGGATAGAGAACTACCAGAAGTACAAGCTGGGTTTCGAAGAGGTAGAGGAACTAGAGATCAAATTGCCAACATTCGCTGGATTATGGAGAAAGCAAGAGAGTACCAGAAAAATATCTACTTCTGCTTCATTGACTATGCTAAAGCTTTTGACTGTGTGGATCACAACAAACTATGGCAGGTCCTTAAAGAGATGGGAGTACCAGACCACCTTACATGTCTCTTGAGAAACCTGTATAAGGGCCAAGAAGCGACAGTTAGAACCGGATATGGAACAACTGATTGGTTCAGCATAGGAAAAGGAGTACGACAAGGATGTATATTGTCGCCTTGCTTATTTAATATATATGCAGAGTACATCATGCGAAATGCTGGCCTGGATGAATCACAAGCGGGAATTAAGATTGCTGGGGAAAAGATCAACAACCTCAGATATGCAGATGATACCACTCTAATGGCTGAAAGTGAAAAGGATCTAAAGAGCCTCTTGCTCAGAGTAAAAGAGGAGAGCGCAAAAGTGGGCTTGAAGCTCAACATCAAAAAAACTAAGATCATGGCATCCGGCCCCATCACTCCTTGGCAAATAGAAGGGGAAGTCGTGGAAGTAGTGACAGACTTCACGTTCCTGGGATCCCAGATCACCACAGACTGTGACTGCAGCCATGAAATTAAAAGACGCCTGCTCCTTGGGAGGAAAGCGATGGCGAACCTAAACAGCATGATAAAAAGTAGAGACATCACCCTGCCAACAAAAGTCCGCATGGTCAAAGCAATGGTATTCCCAGTAGTCATGTATGGCTGTGAGAGTTGGACTATAAGGAAGGCCGAGCGCCGAAGAATAGATTCTTTTGAACTATGGTGCTGGAGAAGACTCTTGAGAGTCCCTTGGACTGCAAGAAGAACAAATCAGTCAATCCTCAAAGAAATCAACCCTGACTGTTCCCTGGAAGGCCAGATAATGAAACTGAAGCTCAAATACTTTGGCCACCAAATGAGAAGGGAGCACTCACTGGAAAAGACCCTGATGCTGGGAAAGATTGAAGGTCAAAGAAGACGGGGACGGCAAAGGATGAGATGGTTAGACAGTGTCAGCGATGCAACGAACATGAAATTGAGCCAACTTCGGAGGACGGCGGAAGACAGGAGAGCCTGGCGGGAGATTGTCCATGGGGTCGCGAAGAGTCGGACTCGACTGTGCGACTGAACAACAAAATGGCTCTCAAATCGAATTATTTCCTGATGCCAAGCTCAGCATCCAGTGTTGCGAATGAAACTGGCTTGTTGTTTTAGGCACAATATTTGGGGGAAATCTGAAGTGGTGCCAACCAATATCTATGAAAATATGTTGACACATTTTGAGCCTTGTAACTTGCACACACAGAGAGAAGGTAGCCCATTCTGGCTGGATGAGTTCCTGGAGTTTTGGGGGTGGTGTCTGGAGGAGGAATCTGAGAAGGGGAGGGAGCTCAGTGCTGATGTGGTACCACAGAATCCACCTGCCAAAGCTGCTGTTTACTTTAGGAGAACAGATATCTTGGTAGTCTGAAGATCAGTTGTAGCTCCTGGAGGACTCCACCTGGAGGTTCGCAACCGTAGTGCAAGAACATAACTCTTTTTAAAAAGTTTACGTACCCAGAGACCAAGTTCGTCTTGACATAAAAATTATTTCCTTCAAGGTTTGAAACACTTTGAGATTCTTCCATAATTATGGAGTTGTAACTTTTTTTAAAAAAAATTGTGTGTGTGTATAGGTTTGTATATTGGTATCAGCTTTCTGTATTAGAACAATATTTGGCCATATGAGTCTTACACACCATTTGAATTATGAATTAGTCCTAGTGAAGCACAATTATGACATGACTGTTGCATGAGCTTTTATGTGACTAACCCCCCCCCCCCCCAGACACACATTGCAATCACTAAGCTAGAGTCAAGGGGATTATTGTAATCTTGACTCAAAAGGAATAATGAGAGGTTTGTGTATGCATTCCAGGCAATGGTTGGGCAAGTATCCGATTTTTGCATGTTTGAATCAGCTACAGACACGGGCAAACTATTTCTGTCTCCTTACCCTCCCCAAGTTAAATAAGTAAACTTGTTTTATACAGACCACAAAATGTAAACAGATCCTTATTCAAGGGAGAAAAAACACAGTACGTGCCATTTTCCTACAAATCTCAGTATGCCGATGGACAAGTGTGATGAAGACAGATGCAGGGTTTGTTCTGCAGAGTGTAATACCTGCATTGATGAAGTCAATAATTTGGAGGTCTTTTGAAATTTAGAACATGGGCAGGAGGATGTGAACAAATGTACACAGCAATCATGCAGAGTTACTCCAGTCCAGTGAGGTCAATGAGTGGCTTGCTAGCCTCCAGGTGGTGCCTGGAGATTTCTTGGAATTACAGTTGATCTCCTGGTGACAGAGGTCAGTTCCCCGGGAGGAGGGGGCGGTTTGGGGGGGGGGGGGGGGTCTCCAATCTGGCACAATATTGAGAAGTTGCTACAAAGCTATAACTACTTCTAATGGTTTAAGAGTGAAAATCGTGACTGGTTGGCTTAGTCTGAGTCAACTGAAATTGAATCCGATGAAGATGGAGGTCCTGTGCCTGAGTTGGAATGGCCCAAGGTAAGGGATCCCTCTCCTGACCTTCAATGGGGCGCCATTGGTGTCAGCACCGGAGGTTAGGAGTTTGGGAGTGCTCCGGGACAGCTCCTTAATGATGGAGGCCCAGGTAGCAGCCACTGTGAAATCTGCCTTTTACAACCAACAGCTGATTAGGCAGTTGATTCCCTTCCTTGAATGCAAAGGCCTGGCAACAGTGATCCACGCAATGGTCACCTCAAGATTGGATTACTGCAAAGCTGTCTACATGGGGCTGCCCTTGTTCCAAGTCCAGAAGCTGCAGCTGGTGCAGAATGCAGCGGTGAGGCTGCTGT